GAGTGTATGGAGTGATGGACACTGGGAAGAGGTAACTATGGAGAGGAAGTGGGAGGGGAGCTGTTGCATTGTGGTAAACTGTGGTCAATGGCATGAGACAAAGTATATGTGAACTGCAGTATGGAAAGTGAATTTGCTCTGTAAATCTTCACTCAAATCACAATAAAAAAAAGAAGTTATGTTGAAGTTATAACCCTTGGTACTTGGAAATGTGATCTTTTTTGGAAAAAGGCTTTGCATGTAACCAAGTTAAGTTGAGGTCATGCTGCATAAGGATGGGCCCTAAATGAATAATTTCTTTGATAAGAATCAGCACAAAACTGGTTTCTATGAGGCAGAGGTTAAAGATGTACCAAATGTCCAACTTTTCCAAACTTCTGTACCACTCATCTCTAACACCAACTCTGCCTCCTCTCTTCTCTTCCTGCCCATTTTTGGGTCTGGTAATTTGCTGCAATGTCTTACAGAATTCATGAACCATACTTAGAATTATAAGGAGACCTGGTGGCACTGTGGTTAAGGCATTGGCCTGCTAACCAAAAGGTAGGTGGTTCAAACCCACCAGCTTCTCCACAGGAAGAAGATGAGGCAACCTCCTTTCATAAAGATTTACAACTGCAATGAGTCGGAATCCACTCAAAGGCAGTGGGTACTTATGATTATGGGGTTTATTAGGGAAGTAACAGGTTACAATTCAGGATAAGGATCAACCTGGAAGTAACAGAAACAACTCAGGATATATTTCTTCAATCAAAACAGCTTCTTCTTGGCTGCTGCAACTGGACTCTACTTGAGCAAGTGGAACAGCCCTTCGCTCCATTGGTCAGTAAGCTCTACCATAGCCATCTAGCATCAGTCTCCTGGTTCTTACCATCTCACACAGCTATCTCTCTTACTGCTGCCACTATCTGTCACTGACTTCAGCATTGCCATTCCTTCTCTCTCTCTCCTCCGTGTCTTTCTCTAAAACAATCTGTCAGGGAAGCTAGTTATATAGCAAGCTTCTCATAAATTTCAAGGCATGTTCTACCCCTCCTCCAGCAAGACCATGAATTAATCAATTCCTTGTAAGTGTTCACATACTTTATTTACATAGCTCCAATCAGTCAATTAATGAAAATTAGAAGACCATGGCTAGAAAGGCCATATAAAAGCAATTCATTTCACCATAGGCCCTAATCCAATGACTAATCCTTATATGAAGAGGGAAATTTGGATACAAACATATAGGAAAGAATGTCATGTGACAATGGAGGCAGAGATTATAGTGATCCAGCTATAAGCCAAGAATGCCAAGGACTGCTGTTGTTGTTGTCAGGTGCCGCTGCGTCAGTTCTGACTTATAGCAACTCTATACACAACAGAATGAAACACTGCCTGGTCCTGCACCATACCCAAAATAATTGCTACGCTTGAGCCCACAGTCACAGCCACTGTGTCAATCCATCTTGTTGACCTTTTTGCTGAGCCTTTATTTTACTAAGCATGATATCCTTCTCCAGAGAATAGTCCCTTCTAACAATATGACCAAAGTAGGTGAGACAAAGTGCACCTCTGGCTTCTAAGGTGCATTCCAGATGTACTTCTTCCAAGACATATTTGTTCATTCTTCTGGCAGTCCAGGGTATTTTCAGTATTCTTCACTAACACCACAATTCAAATGCATCAATTCTTCTGTGGTCTTCCTTAATCATTGTCCAGCTTTCACATGCATGTAAGGCTACTGAAAATACCATGGCTTAGGACAGGTGCACCATAGTCTTCAGAGTGATATCTTCGCTCTTTAACACTTTAAAGAGGTCTTGTGCATCAGATTTGCCCAGTGCAATACATCATTTGATTTCTTGACTGCTGCTTCCATGGGCATTGATTGTGGCCAAGTAAAATGAAATCCCTGAGAATTTCAATATTTTCTCCACTTATCATGATGATGATTATTGGTCCAGCTGTAAGGACTTTTGTTTTATGTTGAGGTGTAATCCACACTGAAGGCTATAATCTTTGATTTTCATTAGTAAGTGCTTAAAGTCAACTCACTTTCAGTAAGCAAGGTTGTGTCATCTGCACATCACTGCTTTTAATGAGTCTTCCTCCAATCCTGATTCCATGTAATTCTTTGTTACTTGCTCAGCTTACAGATTGAATAAGTATAGTGAAAAGATACAACCCTGACACACCAAAACTCACTGCCATCAAATTGGAGCCAACTCATAGCAATTCCTCTTTGGGTTTCACTATGGAAGTAGATTGCCCAATCTTCCAGATTTTTAATCATTCACTACCCCCTTTTTCTATTCTCTTGGTCTATGTGCAAGTTCCTTGTGAGAACAATTAACTGTTCTGGAATTTCCATTCCTTGCCACGTTATTCATAATTTGTTATGATCCACACAGTCAAATGCCTTTGCATAGTCAATAAAACACAGATAAACATCTTTCTGGTATTCTTTGCTTTCAGCCAACATTCATCTGGCATCAGCAATGATATCTCTTATTCTATACCCTCTTCTGAATCTGGTTTAATTTTCTGGAAGTTCTCTATCAATATACTATTACAACCATTTTTGAATTATCTTCAGCAAAATTTTACTTGTGTGTAATACTGATACTATTCGATAATTTCTACATTTTACTAGATCACTTTTCTTTGGCATGGGCACAAATATGGAACTCTTCCAGTTGGTTGGCCAGGTAGCTATCTTCCAAATTTCTCGGCATAAATAAGTGAGTACCTCCAGTTCTCCATCTGTTTGTTGAAACATTTCAGTGGGTATTCCATCAATTCCTGGGGCCTTGTTTTTTGCCAATTCCTTTAGTGCAGTTTAGACTTACTTCTTCCTTCAATACCATCGGTTCTTAATCTTATGCTATGTTGTTGTTGTTGTTGTGTGCTGTATGGTCATCTCTGACTCACACCAATCCCTCCTTGGGTTTCCGAGGTGGTATCTCTATAGAAGTAGATTGCCCAATCTTCCTTCCAAGGAGTGGCTGGTGGATATGAACCACCAACCTTCTGGTTAGCAGTCAAGAGCCTTAGGCACTATGCCACCAGAGCTCCCACTAATCCTATAGGGGTTACAAAGGTTTGATTCTAAAACTCAACTTCAAAACTACTATGTGGGTGTGGCAATGACAAGCTCCACATGAGAACATGCCTCTCACAAGGATCTCCTTCATCCCTTCCTAGAAAAGAGGAAATGGAAGGTGTGTTTGGTGCAGAGCCCCAATTCCTACTCCATGGATATGAAATATCCAGGATGCTACAAAATCACCCCAATCTTTAGTACAAACAGTAGTTTTGTGTATTGCTTGCTCCACTATCCTCTGACTGCCAACAGGAGGAAAAACAAGGCTTCCAGGAGGAGGCACTTGCAGATAGAAGCAGCACTAAATGCACTCAAGATGAGTGGGAAACCAACTCAAACACATTTTGGATACATTAATAGTAATAATAATAAAATAAAAAACTACTGTGTGATATTGGTTCTCCATAATACTGATTATGTCTTTAACCAAAGGCCTTAAAGATAAAACTCATCCATCTGTAAAACTGGTTTTCAAGTAAGTACATTATCATGTAAATCTGAAAGCCCCATAAAAGTGAGTGTCTTACTCAGGATTCTATAAAGAAATAGAACCTGTGAAACAGAGAGAGAGAAAGAGAGGGAATGGCTCACAGGATCATGGGGGTGCTGATAAGTCCAAAATCCATAAGTCAGGCAGCAGGCTGAAGACTTCCAGCTCACAGGATTGTGGGAGACTGGCAAGTCCAAAATCTGTAGGTCAGGCACCAGACTGGAGAATGCTGCAGGCTTGCATCCCAAGATCCACAGATCGGGCAGTGGGGAAGAGTGCATAGTTGAAAGACAGCAAGTTCTGCTGCAATTTCTATTTATAGTCTGAAGACAGACCACATCCTAAGGAACTTCCCTTTTAACTTATTGATTACATTAGATCAATTACGTTATAGAAGATGATTAGATTACAGTATGGAATTGCAACTAGTCTAGGGTTTGGCAAAACCACTGGATACCATAGCCAAGTTGACACACAAGATTAACCATCATAGATGTTTAATTTGTATAATGCTGATCCATGGAGAGAGTAAATAAATAAAAATTAAAACTCTGAGCAGATGCAATTCAACAGAGAATCATAATGCTTACCTAGCATCTTGCTCATTTGGTCATTCATGATAAGTAGCACTAAGGATGAGTGAAGGAACAGAGATATGGTCATGTAAGGCAATTTGTTCCCTAAATTTCATCCAAGATTATAAAAACCATTTAAATATATCCTAAAAGGTCTCACCATTTCAATGTTTCTAGATAATGATGGTTGGTTGGCAAAGTAACAGGAAGAATTATCTCAATTCTCAGGACTTATTAGAGAAGGGATCAGGAGCCCTTGTGGCACAGTGGTTAAAGTGCTTGATGGCTAACCAAAGGTTGGTGATTCAAACCCATCAATCACTCTGCAGGAAAAGGTGAGGCAGTCTCCTTCCATAAAGATTTACAGCCTTGGAAACCCTATGGGGCAGTTCTACTCTGTCTTATAGTGTCACTATGAGTCAGAAGCAACACAGTGTCAGTGGGCTTGGTTTTTGGTTACTGGAGAAGGGACTGAGGAACATGGAACTCACCAGGAAAAGAAAAGCAAACCTTGCAGCTGTAAGAAGGAGTCTTTCTTCAGATCAGCCCCAGCAATGAGACAGTCAAGATGCTTGTGAAGAGACAATAAGGATAATAAGGCAGGCTATCATTTTATTGTTTGATGGAGTTCCAAACCTGCTAAGGACATGTGTACAGGTAACAGAAGCAACAGCTATGTGATGGTTACAGTTGTTTTCCTTGAAGGTCTCATATGTTTATTTGATTTTTGGGTGGCAGTGGTGGTGGTGGTGGTAGTAGTGGTGAAAATGACATTACCAGAGAAGGAACCTAAGTCACATACTATGTGTTCTAGATACATAACTAGACTGAATGGTGTGGCTTTCTGCATTTAACGCTTAATAGGTTCTGCCAGCGCCCGGATCCTTGGAGAACACTGAGCATTCATAGCAGCAGGCTTGACTTTAAAGACGTCTGGATCATAGTAGACAATACACACAGGACTCCTGAAATGAGGAAGAAAAAGAATTCAACCTGAAATAGAAAAAGTAACTAACACTTCTCAGACACTTACTTTGTGTTGTTGTTAGTTGCCATCGAATTGATTTCAACTTGGTGACCCTACACATTCCAAACTAAACCAAACTCACTGCCATTGAGTCAATTCTGACTCATAGCAACACCCATTGAGTTTCTGAGGTGGTAGGTAAATCTTTACAGAAGTAGATTGCCCAGTCTTCCTTCCACAGAGTGGTTGGTAGGTTTGAACCATCAACCTTCTAGTTAGCAGTCAAATGCCTTAAGTACTATGCCACCAGAGCTCCTTACCCTATGCATTAGGCACTAGGATATTACTCACTTTGATTTTCATAAGCACCCTCACTATATAGACAAGGAAATGAAGGCTCAGAGAAAATATAAGAATGGCTTATGGTCAAATCCAGATTTGCATATCTACCAAATTTCAAAGTCTGTACTCTTTCAACAGAAAATGAATTCTGGAAATTTCTTAATAATATAGCAATGCTAGAACAAGCCAGATAGTCTTCTGGAGGACTTGAAAAATTAAAGATTTTTAAGATCACCATCCTTAGCACCTTATCACCACATAATAACTTCACAACAAGGATAAAATCTTGGTCACTTAATCTTATTCTTCCTTTACCTTCTTCACTGAACAGAGAATGAATTTCATTTCCTTTGATATTGAACTTCATTTTCTTAAGGATAAATTTGTTATACAAAAAAATTCAAATCTTTTATTCTATGGGAACTAACGTCTTTCCTTTTCCCTGAGTTCAAGATGTTTGCAAATTTTCAGTCTCCTCTAGGTTCTCCTTATGATGCTTAAGCAGGGGGATTGGGTGTTAGCCCTTATGTAACCAAACAAATTTAGATCATCCCAAAAGTGAACAAGAATTGGAAGCAATTTCTTCTTTGTTCAAATACTTATTTGCTTATTTTCTTATTTATATGTGAAATAGGTCACACATTTCCATGATGCAAAACCATTGAAAAAATACAAAAGCCTATTTAGTGAAAAATAATCTTCCTCCCATCTCAATCTCTTAGGCTACCAAAGGCAATCATTGTTACTAGTTTCTTGTTTATTCTTCTGTGATATCTTAGGCATATGTAAACAAATATTTTGTACACATATTATATGCTCTGTTCTGCAACTTGTTTCACTTAATATGTGTCAGAAATAATTCCAAATCCATACCTATAGAGCTGTCTCCAGAGTGAGGTATGGGATCATGTAAAAAGCTATGGCCTGTGTTCTCAGTTCTGCTGAGCTACATCAACACCTGAGGCTAATGAGTGAGGACTGACCGGACTAACAGGGACCACTTAGGGGCCTAGTGTTGACTAAGCCTCAGGAGGCTCGATGCATCTATATGACCAAATAATGAGCCCAATAAAAACCGAGGTTGTGGAGAGACTAGAACTCTTGTGCACTGCTGATAGGATTGTAAAATGGTACAACCATTGTGGCAAACAGTATGGCATTTCCTTAAAAAACTGAAAATAGAAGTACCATTTGACCCAGCAATTCCATTACTAGGAATATATCCTAAAGAGGTGAGAGACAGAGCATGGACAGACATATGTACACTTATGTCCACTGCAGCACGATTTACTATAGCAAAGAGATGGAAACAACCTAAATGTCCATCAACAGATGAGTGGATAACCAAATTATGGTACATGCACATATGGAATACTATGCTACATTAAAGAACAATGAGGGATACGTGAATCATCTCACAACATGGATGAACCTGGAGGACATTATGCTGAGAGAAATAAGTCAATCGCAGAAGGACAAGTACTGTATGAGTCCATTACTGTAAAAAGACAAAAAGGGTTTGCTTGGGACATGGAACTCACTTTGTAGGTTACTGGGAAGGGGAGGGATGGGGAGGGACTAATTTCAGGCTAGTTGGAGCCCACAGGCTGACGTGGATAAGGGGAGGGATATATGGAAAGGAACAGTGACCACCATGATATTAGGAAATGGGAGGACACTGAATTGTGCACATAAGGGATAGACAACAGATACTAATACCAACCACTGTGTCCCCAATACTGTATTACCATTAACACCAAACACCAGGCTACAGATAAACACATAAACACCTGAGAGGATCAGATGGGGGTCAGTGAACAGGAGTATACTCTAGACCAAGGAGAGATTCAGCTGGGGCTAATCTTGCACAGACACCAGTGATACAAAATACCTGTAATCATTACAGAAACAATAAAAGACAGACACAGAGTAATCCCTCACAGACAACCAGACACTCTGAGAGGAGAGGCAATAGATCCACCGGCTCAGGACCATACTGCTGGTGGACACTAGATTCAATTGGCACAACAAATTACATAAAATCCTTGTTCCACATCCTACATTGTTGAGTAGCAACTGGGGTCTTAAAAGCTTTCAAGTGGCCATCTATGATGCAGCTAATGGTCTCCTAGAGTCAGAAGCGAAGAAGAAGAATGCAAAAAAAAAACAAGGGCATTTGGAAGCAATCAGCCCTAGGATACGATGGCCTCCGAGACCAGAAAAACTAGACAGTGCCTGACTACCAAAGCCAACCACTCAGGAAAGGATCAAATTCAAAGATCCTGGATAGAGTGGGAGGAAAAACGTGGAACAAAATCCAAACACTCAATAATGACAGAATTACTGGTCAGAAGAAGTCTCATGAGACCCCCCAATACTATGGCCCTAGAATACATTCTGTGCCTGGAATAAAACTCACCCCCAGGGGCTGGTTCTCAGCCCAATAGTTAACACAATGTACATGCAGACCACTCAACCTAGGATGATGCACCCACATATTCTATGATAATACATCCCTTAGAGCAATGGACCATGGGGCACCAGAGGACCAACATTCAGGTTGAGGAAATGCAGGACAAACTAGAGTGCATAAATATGAGGGGCACAGGGGGAGGGTTACAGGGTAGGGAGGGGAGGAGATTGGGTTAGGGTTGGACATGGTAAATGGGGAATGAAACTAAATGTACACAGAACATCGAATGTAAAACAAGCTTTAAAAAAAAAAAAAAAAACAAAAACCTGAGCCCTAAGGCTCAGATGAGCTTTCTGGTTGGTTATGCACAGGAAAGGACAGTATGTCCCTTTTTGGGATGTGGGAGCTCCATGCTGTGATCCTTCCTAGACCTCACCCTATGCATTTCATCACTTGTATCTTTTTTTGGTTGTAATAAAGTTGTAGCTGTAAGAATGGTACACTCTTCATGAGATTCTGTAAGTTGCTCCAGTGAATTAATAAACCCACAGGGGCAGTGAGAGCCAGAAGAAGCTGGCCTCTGTCTGTTTGGAAGACTAAAAAAGGGTGTCTTTCTAACATGTGATATCTAACCAAGATATGGGTGGCTAGGGTCAGGGAGAGAGTGTACCGTGTAAGTGGCTAATGACAAGGATAGAGAACTGGCAAGGTGAGGACTTGATCTATCCCCATTTTTTGGGCATTGAATCCATGCTGATCCACACAGTTAGTAATGAAGGTGGGATTTTCCCACTGTGCCCCTTGTTAGTGCAGTCCCATAGATCTACTTTCAATACTGAGTCCACCAAACCTTTAATTGTAGCTTTATATCTGTGGTAAGAAGATCATAGATTTGTCATAATAAATGTAAGAAGCAAGTGAGATGTTTTTCAATTTTTACAATTCTTTTCATTGGCCTTACAAGGTCCTCCTCTCACCAACACCTCTGACATTTCCTGTCCTACCTTAGCATTAAATTGACATACCTTGAACTTGGATTAGCTAGCTCCTGGATTCTGGAAGAAACTTTGCAATGGATAGCAGCATGAGATACTGGCCAGCTTACATCACGGACTGGTACATAATCTTGATGAACTGACTTGTTCTTTGCTAGAGTTGTTATTCGAGGGCTAGCTTTAGCTTGCATGGCAGCAATGGATACCTATAAGGAAACAAAGATGCTATATATATATATATATATATATATATATATATATATATATATATCTCCATCCATCCCAAATTGCACTGCTTTCTCTATCCTTACTGCTATATCACTAATCAAGTCACCAATCATTTCCTTCCCAGATCACTGCAACAGATGCCTAATTGGTCTCCTTGCTCCCATTCTTGCTCCTCTACAGTCTAACCTTTGAACAGCAGTTACCTAGGAAGAGAGAGACCTCTGGCAGGAGGCGATAGCCAGGGCTGATGGAGGAACAGGTAAGAGAGAGAGAGACACAAGGCAGAAAGCTAAGAGACTCAAACTTGTCTTTTTGTCATACTGTGGTGGCTTGTGTGTTGCTGTGGGGCTGAAGGCTGTGTGCTATTGGTGTTTCAAATGCCAGCAGGGTTGCCCATGGTGGATGGGTTTCAGTGGAGCTTCCAGACTAAGACAGACTCAGAAGAAGGAAGAAGCCATCCACTTCTCAAAGAACCGGCCAGTGAAAACCTTACAAATAGCAGTGAAACACTGTCTGATATATAACTGGAAAACTTTATGAATAGCCCTGAAACACTGTCCAATACAGTGCCAGAAGATAAGCCCCTTAGGCCAGAAGGCACTCAAGATACGCTGGGAAAGAGCTGCTTCATCAGAGTAGAGCTGACCTTAATGATATGGATAAAGTACAGCTTTCAGGACCTCCATTTGCTGATGTGGCACAACTCAAAATGAGAAGAAACAGCTTCAAACATCCATTAATAATTGGAACATGGAATGTAAGAAGTATGAATCTAGGAAAATTGGAAGTTGTCAAAAATGAAATGGAACGCATGAAGATTGATATCCTAGGTATTAGTGAACTGAAAGGGACTGGTTTTGGCCATTTTGAATCAGACAACCATATGATCTACTAGACCAGGAATGACAAATGAAGAGTAATGGTGTGGCATTCATCATCACAAAGAACGTTTCAAGATCTATCCTGAAATACAATGCTGTCAGTGATAGGATAATATCCATACACCTACGGAAGTAGGATTGCCCAATCTTCCTTCCTCGGAAGGAAGGTTGGGCAATCCTACTTCCGTAGTGATACTGCCTTGGAAACTCAAGGACGGGTCGCTATGAGTCGGGTTTAACTCGATGGCACATAACAACAACAACAACAAGGAAGGCCAGTTAATATGACTATATTCAAATTTACGCACCAACCACGAAAACCAAAAATGACAAAATTGAAGATTTTTGCCAACTTCTTCAGTCTGAAATTGACCAAACATGGAATCAAGGTGTGCTGATTATCACTGGTGATTGGAACACAAAACTTGGAAATGAAGAATCACCAGTAGTTGGAAGATTTGGCCTTGGTGACAGAAATGATGCTGGAGATCACATGACAGAATTTTGCAAGACCAATGACTTATTTATCACAAATACCTTTTTTCAACAGCACAAACAGTGGCTATACATGTGGACTTCACCAGATGGAGTACACAGGAATCAGACTGACTACTTCTGTGGCAAGAGGCAATGGAAAAGCTCAATATCTTCTGACAAAACAAGGCCAGGAGCTGACTGTGGAACAGATCATCAACTGCTCATATACAAGTCCAACCTGAAGTTGAAGACAATTAAAACAATTCCATGAGAACGAAAATAGGATCTTGAATATATCCCTCCTGAATTTAGAGACCGTCTAAAGAATAGATTTGATGCATTGAACATCAATGACTGAAAATCAGAAGAATTGTGGGATGACATCAAGAACATCATCCATGAAGAAAGCAAAACGTCATTAAAAAGACAGGAAAGGAAGAAAAGACCAAAATGGATGTCAGAAGAGACTCTGAAACTTGCTCTTGAATGAAGACTAATTAAAGCAAAGGAAAGAAATGACAAGATAAAAGAGCTGAACAGAAGATTTCTAAGGGCAGCTAGAGAAGACAAAGTCAATTATTATAATGAAATGTACAAAAACATGGAGTTAGAAAACCAAAAAGAAAGAACACGCTCGGCATTTCTCAAACTGAAAGAACTGAAGAAACAATGGAAGCAGTAGTCAAGATATCAGACAATGTATAAAAAAACAAAGCAAAACAAAACAAAAGTCACTGCCATCGAGTCGGACCCAACTCATAGCGACCCCTCCTTGGGTTTCTGAGGCAGTATCACTATGGAAGTACATTGCCCAATCTTCCTTCCAAGGAGCGATTGGTGGGTTTGAACCACCAGCCTTCTGGTTAGCAGTCAAATGCTTTAGGCACTACACCACCAGAGCTCCCAGATGATGTATAGCACTGGGCAAATTGGCTGCATAGGACCTCTTTCAAGTGCTGAGAAGCAAAGATAATCTCCTTGAGGATTAAGGTGTGCCTGACACAAGCCATGATATTTTCAATTGCCTCATATGCAGGTGAGAGCTGGACAATGAATAAGGAAGACCAAAGAAGAGTTGATGCTTTTGAGTTTTGGTCCTGGCGAAGAATGCTGAAAATATCATGGACTGCTAAAAGAAATAACAAATCTGCCTTGGAAGGAGAGCAGCCAGAATGCTCCTTGGAAGTGAGAATGACCTTCACCTAACCTACTTTGGTCATGTTGTAAGAAGAGACCATTCCCTGGAAAAGGATATCATGCTCGGTAAAGTGGAAGGTCAACAAAAGAGGGGAAGGCCCTCAACAAGATTGATTGACACAGTGGCTGCAATGATGGGCTCAGGCATAGCGGGGACCATGGAGCTGGCACAGGACTGTGCAGCATTTCATTCTGCTCTACACAGGGTCGTTAGGAGTAGGAGACAACTCAATGGCACCTAACAACAACAACAGGAAGAGAATGAACATTTACTGAGTACATGATGTGAGTCAGACATAGTATTAAGTGTTTTACCTACAGTATGCTCACTTGAAACCAGATCCCATAATGGTCTCTCCAATGCATTGCAATCCCATGTGTTTCAGAGTAGAACTGTGGTCCATAGGGTTTTCAATCGCTGACCAAGTAGATTGCTAGGCCTTTCTTCTGAAATACCTCTGGGTGGTAACTTCCAACCTTTTGGTTAGCAGCTAAGAGTGTCAACCATTTGCACTGGAAGAATTTGTGCCTTCCATGCAGAAGGCCAGAGTTCACTTCCTGGACAATGTACCTCACATGCAGCCACTGCCAATCTGTCAGTAGTGGTTTGCATGTTGCTATGATGTTCAAGAGATTTCAACAGAGCTTCCAGTCTAAAATAGGCTGAGCAGAAAGGCCTGGAAATTACTTTGAAAATCAGTCAGTGAAAACCCTTTGATCACTGTGGTCTAATCCACAACTGATCAAGGGAATGGCACAGGACCAAGCAGCATTTCACTTGGTTGTTCATGGGGTCACCTTGAGTCAAAGGCTGACTCCATGGCAACTAAGAACCACATGCTAACTTATTCATCATAACAATTTTTAGGAGGTAAGTACTTTCTAAATCCCAGCCCAGATCATTTCACTCCTTTACTTTAAAACCATCCTACAGCTTGCCATTTTACTATTACCATTTAGATTCCTTACTATGGCCGATAAGGCCCTAAATGATCTGGCTGCTACCTCACTTCTGTGATTTTATCTTCCTCCCCTCCTCATCTTGATCATCCCACCCACAGGAGATCTTTCTGGTCCAGCTCCTTCTACCCCAGGGCCTTTGTACTTCTTATTCCTGCCTGGAAACCTTGTTCCTCAATTTTAGCATAGTATCTTCCTTCTGATCATTCAAATCTTCATTCACACTTCACATGCTCAAGGAGGTCTTCCCTGACCATCTAATATAAATTAGTCTTTCTAATTACTCTCTTCTACAAGATTTATCTTCTTCATAGCATTTATGATACCTCAATTAGCTCATTTATATATTTGTTTATATGTTTACCATCTGCTTCTTCCCGTAAGAATATAAATTGTTTGAGGGATGTTTGCTAAGCTTGTTTGTTAAAATCTAAAATAGGCTCTGTTACAGAGTAGGTGCTAAATAAATATATATTGACTGAGTAAATATATATTGGCCCCTTTTGGTCTCATTTTGAAAACCACATCTGCCAGATTATCTTTCTATTCTGTTGCTTTATTGGTAAAAAATGAAAGACGACATTTAGCAACAATTCTCTGTCTTAAGTGCTCTTTCAAAATGATTACGGTAGACTGTAAGTGTTCTGTATTGCACTAGTTCAGATGTGTTTGGGGTTCTAAGAGTATGACTATCTACAGTGGTATCACTTTTGAAAGACTCTCATTTTTTTAACCCTTCCCCCAACAATCCTAGCAACTGAGGAAGGATGCCAATAGTTCTCACTCTACATAACAAAAATCTGAGAATGAAGTGATTTGCCTGAGGCTCACAAGGCCAGTAGCCACTTTAGCAGACCCAGGGCACTCTCCTAAGGGTTTTTATTCCCAGCTTCGTTTTCTTTCCTAATTTCTACTCATATCCTGTATTTGTATATCAGATCCTCAGAGGTTTCCACCACTACTCAGAAGCCTACAGCAGTTCCCAGAGAAAAGTGAAATTGGTCCCACCTCCTTTGCCAATATTATCATTGGATATTTATTAAAGGCCAAAAGAAATAGAGCACCAAGTTGGCACTACAATTAATGGAAGGAAGTATCAAAGGGAAAGAACTGGGAGGAAGCCACTGAATGTGCCAGGTTCTGTGCTGAGTGCCTTACCTGCATTGTTCATCACAGCAGACCTCTGATTGGGAACTATTACCACCACTCTCCCCTTGCTCATCCCAACTTTAAGACTTTGGCACACATTCTTCCTTTTACTAGAATGTTCTTCTCCCAGATCTTCATGTAGCTGACCCCTATCATTCACATTTCAGCTCTAATGTCCCTTCTTTAGAGAGGCCTTCCCCGACTACCGTACACAACTAGCTTATTCCCCACTCCTACCCATACTTACTTTCATTTCCCATTTTATGTTCTTCACTGTTGTTCTTGTTGGGTGTCATTGACCCGATTTTGACTCAAAGAGAACCCACATGACAGAGTAGAACTGCTCCACAGGGTTTTCTAGGCTACAGTCTTTATGGGAGCAGATCACCAGGTTTTTCTCCTTCATAGCCACTGGGTGAGTTTGAACCACTAATCTGTTAGTAGCTGAGTGTTTAACCATTGCACTACAGGGCTCCTTATGTTCTTCACAGCACTTATTTTATCTGAAGTTATCTCATCTATTTACTTATTTACTATTTTTCTCCCGTCAGTAGCATCAACCTCTATGGAAACAATGCCCGGCACATAGCAGGCATTCAAATACTTGTTGAATGAATGAGGCTCAAGAAGGTTGTCATTTTTCCAACATCACAGAGATAGTAGTAGTGGTAAGGCTAGTTTTAGAACCCAGTTCTTCCTAATCCCAAAACCCATGCTTTTTGCCCTCTACCCCTCCTCTATCTCCAAATCATGCAGCTAAGTCTTTCTTCCTGCTTCAGACCACTCTTGCAAGATTCTCTTTTCCAATGACTTTAGATTATGCCCTGCAGAGGCAAAATAACACATTAGAAGCAGGAAGAAAGTGAGCCTAAGGATGCCAAGGCAGTGATGTCTTACAGGACGGATGGGCATTTCACTTTTTTCTCTCTCGTAGCACAGCCCCTCTAACTTGATCCTTGGGTGGGCAAGGTCAACAATTCTTGGAGTTGCAACAGCACTCAGAACAGAAATTGAAATCCTAGTGTCACTCTAGGGAAGAAAAAGAAAATACCTGTGAGTATCAAGCAATAAACACTGCCTAGATCAATATTACAAAATGTGGGCTGAAATCTGAACCATATTTCTCAGCAAAACCAGCAGAGATTATGAGAATCTCACAGTAACCAATTATCACAGCTGAAAAGATCAATTTCCATCTTTCTCAAATTAGGTTTATAGGATTCCAACCCAGCTTTTCAGAAACTTAACTGTGAAACTAATAATGGGGAGGAAATAGGCAAATATACTGGCTCAGACATAGTTATGCTGATTTTTGGAGTGATAAACTTAGCCGGGAAGGAAAGCTCAAACCCACCACATGGGCTCTGAGAGGGAGAGCTCTGATTTGTTCTTTATTATTTTCACCCTCTGTAAATTGGGGATCATATTATCACAAATCACCATGCTTAAAATGAATTTAAGTGACTCTCTTTCAATTGGAATAGACAAGAAAAAGAAACAAAAGCCAATAACAAGAAAGGCAGAACTATATGCTTCCAAACACGATGTTATCCTAGTTCTCTAGTCAGTCCTCACTTTCCTAATTCTAGAAATTTGTTGAAATTACATGATCTTTAGTTACTTGCATTCAAACTCAATATTCACTACAAGATTTTGAAGGGGAATATAATCAATAACTAGAAATTAAATAAGGTTTTAATTGTAAGTATAAAAATAATACACAAGATATTTTCCAAATTCTTGTATTGTTTAAATGATGATAGCTAACACAGTGTTTTATACATATCAATTCATTTATTCCTCACCTGGAGTGCTATCTTTTTTCTATTTTGCTGATGGGAAACCTAAGATACTGAGGGGTTCTGTAATTTATTTAAGTTTATATACAGCTCTGGAAGCATAGTGGCTAAGGCACTTAACTGCTAACCAGAAGGCTGGTGGTTCAAACCCACCAGCCACTCCTCGGAAAGAAGATGGGGCAATCTACTTCTGTAGTGATACTGCTTCGGAAACCCAAGGAGGGGTCGCTATGAGTCTGGTCCGACTCCACGGTACATAACAACAACAACAAGTGGCAGAGTTGGGATTCAAATTCAAGATTCTACCTATCAGTATAACATACTAATTAGTGTATCAAAAAACCAAACCAAACTCACCTGCCATCAGGTCGATTCCGACTCACAGAGACCCCCTTTGGGTTTCCAAGGCAGTAAATCTTTACGAAAGTAGATTGCCCAGTATTCCTTCTGCAGAGTGGCTGGTGGGTTTGAACCACCAACCTTCAGGTTAGCAGTAAAATGCCTTAGGCACTTGTACAAAATACTAATTAAACATTTTAAATGTTGTTGTTGTTGTTGTTATGTGCCGTCGAGTCGGCCCCGACTCATAGCGACCCCTCCTTGGGTTTCCGAGGCAGTATCACTACGGAAGTAGGATTGCCCAACCTTCCTTCCGAGGAGTGGCTGGTGGGTTAGTTCCTCTAAATAAAGCTTTGTCTTCTATCAGGCTTTATAAAAATCAAAGAAATACATACTGCAACCTATTGCCTTAAATTGGGCTTACACTCTATAAGAAAATAAAACATCATTTGCTAATTCAATTTATTAAACAAATATTTTTAAAGCAATTATGTTATGTAAGACACAAGAAATGATAAACATAGTTTCATTCCTTAATTTTCAACTTAACCAGTTGCCATCAAGTCAACTCTGACTCATAGCAACCCCATGTGCATCAGAGTAGAACCATGCTCCATTGGGTATTCAATGGCTAATTTTTTGGAAGTAGACTGCCGCCTTTCTTCCAAGGTATCTCTGGGTGGACTTGAGCCTTGAACCTTTTGGTTAGCAGCTAAGTATGTTAACTGTGTGCACCACCCAGGGACTCCAATTTTCAACTTAGAAGGGGCCATAAGGCCAATAGGCAAATAATTAAAATTATTTAATGAACATAAATAAAGAATAAAGTATTGAGAAACAGCAGGAGAAGGGTGGGAGAACCACAGAAGGATTATTTTTTTTTTTTCAGGGGTAAAAGAGACATCTGATTAGATATTAAGGAAGGATCAGATTTTGACAAACAGAAGGAGAAAGAAAGATAGAGAGGATGAGGGAAGGCAGATGAAAGGGAAAGTCTGAGCACTGAGGCAAGGAAGCAATGAATAAGTCATCACACACACACACCAACAGCATTTTCATGCAAGTAACATGTACCTTCTACATTTGCCAACCATTCCCTCCATAAGGTATTTTTATAAGCACTGGTATGTCTATTTTTTTCATATGTGTTACTGTAAAAAAAAAAAAAAAAATTAGCCTATTGCATTTATGAAAATATCTCATGGTGGGAGAGAGCAGTTGACAAACAAAGAACAAGGCAAGTGCTATTTGCTTAAACATACACACACACATACACCAAAACAATAAGACTTCTAGAGGAAAATATAGGAGAATACCATCACAACCTGGGGTAGACACAGACAAAGATTTCTCAGTCAAGACATCAAAAGCATTAACCATAAAAACTGACAATACTAAACTTCATCAAAATTGAAACATTTTCTTCTTATCAAAAGACATAATTAAGAAAATTAAGCCACACACTGGAAAAAATATTTGTAAATACATAACCTAACAAAGGACAGTTAAGGAATTAACTTTACCCAAAGATTCTGGTCTCTATTCCTGATTCTTGTGAAATAACCTCTGAAATCTTGGAATTTCTCCAGTAATTGAAATGTTTTTTTTTTTTATCTTTATGGGCTCCAGATCAAACCTGACAAGTTATGCTAATGACTTGATTCACATGGGGACTGGCTTTCAGAAAGTCCCAACTGGTGATATCAGCTGACCTCAGGGGAGAAGGGCATGACTCAATCATGCTGATGTAATAAGGCCCCAGTAAAGATCTGGACATGGAAGCTCCATGGGCTTCCTGGTTGGTGATAGCCATTGCTAACTGTGGGAGAGTAGCTTATCTCTTTTTAAGACATAGAAGCTCCATATTGGGAACTCTCCCAGACCTTGCCCTTTGTATCTCTTCATTTGTATCCTTTTTGCTATAATAAAACTGTAATATTAAGTACCAGGCTTTCCTAGGTTCTATGAGTTGTTTTAACCAGTTATTGAACCTGAAAGAGTAGTGGGAGACAGCAGGTCAAGAATGAGGGAATCCTGGGGACCTTTGTGCTTACAACTGCTATCCTGAGGCAGTAAAGGAAACCTTTAAATTTGTAGCCAGCAGGTCATAAATGAGGGTGTCATGGGGTCCCTTAAACCTGTAACTGATGTCTGTGGTCTTGAAAAGACTTGGCAGTGTGGAGGACTGTGTCCTTTAACTTTTAAGGTCTGATCTAGCCCTAAGCGGTTAGAGAAAGAAGCACTGCACAGGCAGTTACTGACAGAATTAGAACAGAATCAAAATTTATAATAGATTTGATTTGATCCTTAGAGTCTGGTGTCAGACAAGTTAGATCTGATATTTCCCAGCAACAGGTATCCAGAATATATAAAGAACTTTTATAAGTCATAAATAAAAAGAAAGATAATTCAATTTTTTAATGGAAACAGTTTGATATACAGAAAAACTATTCACACACAACATAACTGTGTATGTAGAAAATCCTAAGGAATCTACGAAAGACAAACAAACAAATAAAAAATCCTACTAACTAAATGACTGAAGACATACAGATATCCAAGAAACATATGATCAATACTCAACATCATTAGTTATCCTGGAAATGCAAATTAAAGCCACAATTATACCACTACACCCTCACTAAAATGGCTAAAAAATTTTAAAAACTGTCAATGCAAATGATGGCAAATCTGTGCAGCATCTGGATCACTTATACATTGCTGGTGAGAATGAAAAAACAGAAAAAGGCATAATCACTTTGGAAAATAGTTTAGCTATTTGTTATGCAACTAAATATACATGTACCCTATGGCCCAGTAATACCATAGAGAAAGGAAAACAGGTGTCCACAAAAGTATCTGTACCTGAATGTTCATAGAGGCTTTATTCATAATAGTCCCAAACTGAAAATATCCTAAATGCCCATCAAGAGTGAATAAATGGATAAATTGTGATATATTTACACAATGGAATACTAATGACTTGACAATAAGAAGCAGCAATCTACTTCAATTATTTAATATGGCCCTTCTAAGTACAGTCCTAGGGTTACAGGTGAGGAGATACAACTCAGCGACACCCAAAGTAGCAGGCGGGAAGAGCAGGAGAAAGGGGATTAAAAGCCAGGAAGCCAGAGAGAAGAGCAATCAGCCGAAGGAATAGGTGAGGAGAGGAAACTCAGGCCCACCCAGAGTAGCAGGCCGGAAGAGCAGGAGAAAAGGGATAAAAGCCAGGAACCGAGACAGAGGAGCAGTCAGCCCCAGGGACAACTAAGGGATGCCCAAAGCAGCAGGCCAGAAGAGCAGGAGAAAGGGGACTAAAAGCCAGGAAGCCAGACAGAGGTACAGTCAGCCACAGGGACCCAGGTGGGGGTGATACGAGAGGTCTCCAACAGCAAGACAAACTTGTCTGT